GAAGGGAGGGGAGGGATGAGGGGGAGTGATGTAAGCCTTAGAATAGTGAAAGCCGAAATTCAACGATCGAAAAGATTTTTAAGACCGGTTACCACCCCTTTCCCTCCACCGACGAATACGGCCCTCTTGGTGGGAATCCCCATCGTATGACATGTTCTGCTCAGACACCCGCTTCAGCCGCTGACCTGTTGTAATCTAGAAAGACTTCACTTCCGCCCCAGATCGTCCCGCCCATTTCCTCAGTACTACAGCTGCACTCGAGTCATTTTTCCTTCAATATATGGTGATTAATTCAACGAATGCTTCTGTTCTTTCAGCCCCTCAACCCATTCAAAGGCCATCCGCGCCACCTCCGGCTAAGCGCGTCGACGAAGACGCCGCATCTGAGCCGGATTTTGTCCAGGTACCGGACTTAACTCGTCCGTTGTGCTATTTTCACTTCCTAAAACTTTTCCTAAAATCTTCTAATCAGTTATCATTTAAGGATCGGGTAGAGTTCATTGCGGATATACGAAAGAAGCATCAGGATCAGAAAAATCACAACCAGAGCAATAAGACAAGCCCCGTGAAATCGCCACAAAAAGGGATAGCGGATGAGAAGAAATTGAATGGGAAAATCGCTTCTAACGGTAGGGTTTCTTCTTTGGACCATTCGCTTAATTTTCATATTACGGGCAAGAAGGTTGCGTTTACCAACAGCTTCAAAGTGGAGCATTGAGGGTCAAAGAATCCTCGGAAAGTATTAGATACGTATCGATTGATCTCACTACGCGCAAGTGAAGAATCGATCAGCGAAGTTTTTTTTCTGGTTGTTGCTTTTCCTTTTCCAATGCACCCCCTCCTAGTCAGCAGCAAGGCGAAACTATACTAATTTTTATAGTTTATCGGGTACCTGCCCTTCCTGCACCACAGCAGCATTCCGATCAGACATAAGGTTAGGGCGAAGCGGTCTCGCTTCGGAGAAGAAAGATTAGAAGAAATTTCGTATTTTGCAGACAACTCCCCTCCAACGCCCAGAGACGTGCTATGTGATCGTTGTCTTTATTTAGCAGAACACATAGTCGCTATGGACAGGAATTTTCAGCGGAGATTTTTCGTCCATCTCCCAGCAGCGCCCCACGAACTCTACTACGCACCCTCCCCCTAAATAGTTCACGTCCCTTTGCCACTGTTGCTACCCAAATTACTGCCAGGCACAAAGACGAACATAAAGACAAAACCTTAAGGGAGGAAACATCCACCCCACTTATCCTTGGCTACCCGTCAGTCAGTGACGTACCGCAAATATGACCCCTCCCCAAAGCGACTTACCCGACACACCGTCTCCCTCACAGGTACTTTTTCAGCAAGATTGAGCTCTGACAACCTGAGACCAATCGATCGTTTTGAAAGTCAGAGCCTTTGCAAATTTAGTTTTTTGTACCCATTAGCTGACTCCCCAGGGATGGAATACTTAGAAAGTCTGAGTGAGATCCCATTCCCGAAGCGATAGGTCAACGGGTAGTGGTTTTCAGGGTTATGCATACAGCAGCTGACGCTTAATTTCATTTAGTGCTCTTGGCGATGTCGGGAATGATCCCGCTCCGGCGTTTTCTATTACCGGTTGCTTTCTACCAGAATTGACCACTAGTTTGGAAAAAGCAGCCGCTGGCGGCGTCGCTCTGCCCGAGTTGCGACAGTACTAACTACACCAGATCCTCGATGCTTTTTTTGCAAACTAGCAGCCAAGATATGCCTTCAATCATGCTAAAAACGCAATCGTGTACTATAGTTAAACTGGCCTACGGGGAGAAGCAAGGGGGAAAAGACCCTCTCCTGTAAACCGACAAGTCTGACCGAAACGATTTCAGAAAAGCCTTCTGGAAAAACCGAGCCGAGCAAAACGAAGTTGGAGGAGCCGCCTAATTTCACGCATGCTTCTGGTTCGTTGACAGTTATTGATTTTCTTCTTCAATTGTTACTCATATTTCGTACCGCACAAAGCGTCCCTATGGGACGGAAGGTGGTGGAGGAGTGGGTGGGGAGGGGCATTACGTCCTCAATCTTACGGTATGGTGGAACAGTGAGAATGAGAAATGAGGAATCCGCTCCTGCCTTGACCAGCTCTGGCTAACTCTTTCCGTAACCCGACTACCATTCTAGAAGTAAGCTGTCTAGCACGGTTTTGATATCATACCTGGTCGCAAGTGGCGGTCGACTTGGAGGGGTGTTTCGCACTTCCACCAGTTGCCCATGTTCGTTCGTGCTTAAAACAGGGTTTTACTCCCGCGAGACCTGCAGATTGCAGTGAAGCTGCAAAAAGGTGCACCGGATAATGAAATCGAATTGTACCAGTTCAGAAAGACGCTGTCGCAGTCCACGACTATGGTAGCAGGGTGTCGTGCGCCTGGGCTCTGTCGTGCTACACGGCCAAATACGCGACGCCAACGCCGCAAGTTGCGCCGTCGGGTCCGCTCTCAGCAGGAGGCTGTCAAGGCTGCCGCCGGTCAGTCAGCGCGCTTCTCTCCCTCCGCAAGAAGAGACCATCTGTGCTGCTGTGTTCTCAGGCGGACACAGGGTGCCTTGCGCACTTCGCAGAGCATGTAGAAGCAGGGTGCCGTTCAGCGCTAGAACTGGCGGACGAAGAAGGGGGAAAGGTGGATTCAACCGGCAGGATATGAGGATAGAAACAAAGAAACTACAAGTAAACCTGAGACAGCAAAAGTACAGTGCTACAGACACCAAAAGTATCAACGTGCTATTGTTCACCTGTCTCGGGAGCGCCCCAAGAAATGAGGTTCGGTAGAGGGCGCTCGTGTTAGGTCTTTGTTTCTCAGATGCTACCATGGTCGAGCGCGCGCGGCGAGGGATAGATCACCGAGCAGCTCACAACAACCGGCAAAAATTCTTTCCCGACTCAAAGCTGTCTCGGAAGCCATAATATGACCCCCCCGCCTCCACTGGGTGTTTCACACAACATCTGTAACCCTCGCTTGGTAAGAAGGTGTGATTAGTTTTATGAACGAACTGTTGCAGTGGTGGGACTGAGCTACGCATGGGCCCAGGTCCAAGGCGAAGAAGGAAGGTCGACCTGACCACGAGGAAAGATGCTCTTCAGAGTTGCCGAGTCATCCACCAACCTACCGGGACGAAGGCTGTGCGTAGTTTCTTCTTAGAAGAGCGGTGACATATACTTGCGGGCGGAAAAGGGTTAGTTTCGCGGGAGCGAAACAGTGAGACACACTGGCTACTGGCAAGTCGCAGGGTTCGTGCTCACCCGATTAGTGTGTGGTGAGAGCTAGAGTAAGGTCTCTCCCTCCCACGCAGAACTGCGACGAATGCAGACGGGAGAACTTCCAAGAGTATTGTTGGGCAGACGGGATTTCGAAATTCACTTCACCAGTTGAGAAGTGGTAAAAAAGGTTACCCTGACACTCACTTAGAAGTGGCCAAAACAGTGGTTTATTTATACAATACATATGTATGTTCCGCCTCATCTAGTCTATTGCTCTCAGGTACGGAACTGAAGAGAGATGCAACTAAGCTAGAAGGTCCAAAAAACATTCAGTAGATTGATCTTTCTTAGAGCATTTCCGAAAATTAAGCGAAGGACATACTGAAATACAAAGAGCGCCAGAAGAGGTTGAGGTCGATGAGCCTTAGAGTAAGCAGACTGGATGACCTCACTCTATGTCTTCGCATATCGATAAGTACGCATCTGAAACTAGTAAGTATTGGGTTTTTAGATGCTTTGGGAAGAGCACCGGAGGTTTTGCCCTACCTTTCAGAAAAGTCCATAAGAAATGCTATTCTGTTATGTTTAACTGATACTTTTGTCGCATGGCTTGGACACTGAAGAAAGTTCCACTAGAGCTGCTTAGTTTCGGGAATAGTAAGGTATTTGGGAGTAAAGAAGTTTCGTATTGTGGATCTGTTAAGCTGTGAGATCTAAAGTAGGTCTATTCAGATAGCAGCAGTGGATATCGTCTTCAGAGTTCGTCGTACATTAATTTAGACCCGGACAAGTCGCTGATGTCACGCGTATCGTTATTGTCGGTCAATGAGTCCGAGTCCTATTCCTCCAATTCCTCCAATCTGCTTAGCAACGCTTTACATCGTGCTTAACATTGTGCTTCATTGTTCGTAGTTCCATTGGAGGCTGTTGTGTTGTCTCTAACTGTATTGCACTTCCATCTGTTGTGTTCGTAATGTATTTTTCTGCTTTGCTTGCCATATGTCAGCTTGGGACAGTAGGGACAGGCTTAGACATTTTTCTGACTACCATTTTTCTAGATGCTTGTGCTGGAGGGGCTAGTGACTGCAAGCCCCACAATGTTGTTACAGTCCAGTTCCCTGCGGACGATGGGGCGTTTCTACGTCCACTTTCGCAGGCGGGCTGACGGCTGCGTGCTGGTAGGATAGTGGAGG